ATTATTTTCTGACTCTTATTAGGTAACAAACGCTTGTGCTTCATTAACGATTGCATAAAATAATAATTTAAAAATCATAAAGTAAAACTTGATGTCAGAACTCGATGGCATCAAGCAATAGCACGGAGGTATCATCTTGTAAATAATTCAGTCGATACAAATATGTTAACCGCAAACAGTTCAAAGAATAATTTCATTCTTAAAATTTCTCGTAAGCTCTTTGTGCGGCAAGACAATGGAATTCAATAAAATTTTCTCAGCTGCTAAGCGTACGCTCGTGCCTGAAATACAAACGATAGAGAGGTAATTATTTCTTTCACAAAGAACGTCGAATGAGAAGTTAATTACCGAGAATTGTTATAGAAGGATTGAGTTTCCCATTTGTATTAAACAAAGGCAAATTCTCCATTTTTGCGAATGGTTTATCAGGATTGGGGTCGCACGGTGTTCCTTCTATTCGTGCCCATTCTCCTACATAACTGCTTTTACCTACTATACTATGAAGAACAACTGAATGTGCTTGAATGTGAGCATTAGCTAATATGATTGATTCTCTTATTCTAACACCTGGTGCAATAATAGCGTTTGGACCTATGCTTACGTTTGGTCCTAGCTGTAAAAGAAGTACATAGTGTGATATCAATGAATCAATGTTTAATACTACCTAGTGAAAGCCTATTAATAGGTTTTTTAATGACTATTCTATTATATATTAAAGAAGTTTTAATAATTTCTTTACCACTGCTGATGGGTGAACTGTAGCTGATGGATGAATGTAAACATCACCAATAATTTGACAAGGTCCATTTGTTGTAAAAGCAAGGCGATTTGAACGATTTGCTTTATAAAGAGCTAAATAATGACGATTAGCGTATATCGCGGAACCAGCTGTTTTAACTTGCGACCACCATCTTAATACAGGTAATGCGAATAAGCGACCAGTTCCAGCTAATCGAGTTAATATGTCTTGTTCAAGAGATATATGAGCCGGATCTCTACCGTTTCCATTGAATTGCCTAGAAGCAGAGTACGTATTGAATCTATATACATTCTTCTTTAGAACTTTGCAAGAAAATACGTATGCGTTGTGCACTAAAATATCTTACGTAAAAGTTTCTTGATTTTGTCCAGCATAAAAAGCATCTGCCATAGTTTGAAAAATATCTGGGGAAGCAAGATAGACTCCACAATTGATCAAGGTTGAAACGAATGTTGATGGTTTTTCTACATAATGTGCAACTTCCTTGTCTTTACCAAGAACCATACATCCATAATTTATGGATTGTTGCCTTGTTGCTTCTGTAGCCATAATTGTAAGCAATGCTTGCTTTTCTATATGAAATGCGANATTATTTTCTGACTCTTATTAGGTAACAAACGCTTGTGCTTCATTAACGATTGCATAAAATAATAATTTAAAAATCATAAAGTAAAACTTGATGTCAGAACTCGATGGCATCAAGCAATAGCACGGAGGTATCATCTTGTAAATAATTCAGTCGATACAAATATGTTAACCGCAAACAGTTCAAAGAATAATTTCATTCTTAAAATTTCTCGTAAGCTCTTTGTGCGGCAAGACAATGGAATTCAATAAAATTTTCTCAGCTGCTAAGCGTACGCTCGTGCCTGAAATACAAACGATAGAGAGGTAATTATTTCTTTCACAAAGAACGTCGAATGAGAAGTTAATTACCGAGAATTGTTATAGAAGGATTGAGTTTCCCATTTGTATTAAACAAAGGCAAATTCTCCATTTTTGCGAATGGTTTATCAGGATTGGGGTCGCACGGTGTTCCTTCTATTCGTGCCCATTCTCCTACATAACTGCTTTTACCTACTATACTATGAAGAACAACTGAATGTGCTTGAATGTGAGCATTAGCTAATATGATTGATTCTCTTATTCTAACACCTGGTGCAATAATAGCGTTTGGACCTATGCTTACGTTTGGTCCTAGCTGTAAAAGAAGTACATAGTGTGATATCAATGAATCAATGTTTAATACTACCTAGTGAAAGCCTATTAATAGGTTTTTTAATGACTATTCTATTATATATTAAAGAAGTTTTAATAATTTCTTTACCACTGCTGATGGGTGAACTGTAGCTGATGGATGAATGTAAACATCACCAATAATTTGACAAGGTCCATTTGTTGTAAAAGCAAGGCGATTTGAACGATTTGCTTTATAAAGAGCTAAATAATGACGATTAGCGTATATCGCGGAACCAGCTGTTTTAACTTGCGACCACCATCTTAATACAGGTAATGCGAATAAGCGACCAGTTCCAGCTAATCGAGTTAATATGTCTTGTTCAAGAGATATATGAGCCGGATCTCTACCGTTTCCATTGAATTGCCTAGAAGCAGAGTACGTATTGAATCTATATACATTCTTCTTTAGAACTTTGCAAGAAAATACGTATGCGTTGTGCACTAAAATATCTTACGTAAAAGTTTCTTGATTTTGTCCAGCATAAAAAGCATCTGCCATAGTTTGAAAAATATCTGGGGAAGCAAGATAGACTCCACAATTGATCAAGGTTGAAACGAATGTTGATGGTTTTTCTACATAATGTGCAACTTCCTTGTCTTTACCAAGAACCATACATCCATAATTTATGGATTGTTGCCTTGTTGCTTCTGTAGCCATAATTGTAAGCAATGCTTGCTTTTCTATATGAAATGCGACTGTTTCTTGTAAAGGAAAATCTGCACAAACATCACCATTCATCACAAAGAAATGTGTAGGAGAACCAGATCGTATCTGATCACGAAAGTGATACATTCCACCGGCAGTTCCCAGCATAGTAAACTCCTGAAGATATCTAATAACTATGTTATATGTAGTTATCATGTCATGGATAAATTGTGTCAAATCACTTGCAAGGTACGATCCAATTATTAATATTTCACTGAGATTTTCTACTTTTGAACATGCTTCTATGTGGTGTTGTATTACTGGTAAACCAGCAATTGGAAACAATGGTTTTGGTATATCCAAGGAGAGAGGTCTAAATCTAGTTCCTGCAAAGCATATTATTCTTATTATTTCCTATTAGTACCTTAGACATCTAACTCCAATTCAATTTTTTATTATGTATTTATGTTTATGTTTAAGGTTATATTATTTTATTATAAGTAATCTATGTATAGGAAACGAAATTAAACTGCAAAAAAACAAACCTTTTGATGGGCCTCCAATTAATATAACAGCTTTTAATATCATTTTAAGCAATTTTCAAATTTTGTTACAGTTGTAAAGAATAAACTTGCCACGATGATAAAAATCAATATGTACATATACCGATAGGTTTCGGAACACTTCAAAATTGTATGTATATGTATGATATGCATTCACATATGTACTTATTATGTACGTTATATGTATATACAGTATGTAGTTCATAAATTCCTATTCAATGGATAGGATAAGATAAGATAAGATAAAAACTAGAGTGACCTGGTCCTGACCTGACCTGACATACCAATACTAACAGATCACAGTCTTCACGAGATGATATTCATTGTTTCATCGTAATAAGAGGAAAAAATTATTTAAACTATTAATGTTAAATCAACTGTAGTTATCGCTTTGAATTGGTTTTTCAATTTGTTTTGTGATAAAGAATTTAAAATGCAGGTTAGTATTGAAAAGAGATGTTCAAATTTTATTTGTACTTATAATTCCATACAAAATATTCATATTAAAAATTAACAAAATAGAGAATTTAAACAAAGAACGTTGTTATATAATTATCCAATTATTTATACATTATGATTCAATTTAATGAATGCACATATATTGATGATGATGCTATTACATGTACTGTTCAATTATGTTTTGTATAAAAAATATATTAGTAATTACGATGTATGTAATTAGATGTATAAAATTTTGTATATTTTAATTCATAAACCAGGTAACACCAGATTTAGAAAATTCATGCATATTTCAAATCCAACAAAACATGCAGCATTTGCTGGGAAAGCACGGAGCATCACAGGTGTACATCCCTTGTATAAAGCTTTTGGCCCTTCTTTCTTCATTAAAGCTACAAAAACATCTCGGATCCCATGTTTGTAAGTGCCCTCTGGAGCTATAAGATTTCATATAATAATTCAACAAATTTCTGAACTGATGTGTAACTTTTGTATGTTATTCTAAAAGTAATTCAAGCGTACATACCACTTTGCAGACGACTTTTTAACACGTCAGGAGGCATTCCAACGATCCAATTGGCAATACCGGCACAACCACCAGCGAATATTGTAGGCAATAGTCCTAAACTTCCATCCTTTGGAGTCAACCAATTTTTCAAACATTCATACGTTGCAAAATACATTCCACTGGCAGGGATATCTGAAAGTTTTGAAAAAGGAATTATATATCGAGGAAACAGATAATGAGAAAGCTATTTTCTTGAAATACTTCATGAAGCAAAAGAATATGGTAACATAATGAAAACCATATTCTTAGACAACAATAACAGTGAAAAAAGATTAAGTTCCACCTGGATCTACATAATCCAAGCATCTTGTGAAAACGTTATTTATAATTATAAAGCGAGAATAGTATGTGTGGGCTGCTAGATAGGAAACATCCTGTTTGATAGGGGACATCGAGGCAGAAGATAACAGTTAACAAAATTCAGTTTCCTTCGAACCAGCGTACCATTACTGGTTTTAAGATCCATTTTTCTTCATTCCTCTAGTTCAAAGTGGATAATGACGGTTGTTTTAATTCTCCTGATCACTCTTCTGGTACAAAATTTTTCCTCCTATTTAAAAAGAGCTTTACTTGTTTCAAGCTAATTTTATACATACAAATTCAAAGCAATTTCTAAGTCGTAATTGCTTTTACATCTATCTTCTTAAAATACCATTTAGAACGAGTGCTTTGGTCAGATAATCGACATTGGTGGTGTCTGGGAGGTGAAATGTCCCCAAGGATGTTCTTGCGAGGTACAACGATTCGCTGATTTGCCTCTACAGCGTTGGATCCGGACAAATCAAGATCAGGTATGACGATAATTCGTTCTTTCCTTTTTCATAATTTAATTAATTTCTTCTCAACAGGCTTTGTCTAGTGATGACGATTTAGAACTTAGTTTAAACATGGATCATTCTATGATTAGCGAATTCTTGAAGGTAGCGATCTGTGTCGTAGCAGAAGATTATGAAGAACTTTTGGAAAAACTTCCATCGGATATGCAAGTAAATATTACTAGGTATTAGAAGCTTTTTCATTATACGCATATCAGAAAAGTTAATTTCGCATATTTTCCTTTTAAAATCTTTCAGATTTTTACAATACTCGAATCTGGTGTGAAAGATTTTCAGATTCTCCTACAGTCTACAACATTTCAGCGTTTTACAGATTTAATTTCCTTAGACATACAAGGCATAGATTATAATGAACCTGGACGAAAGTATTTAAATAACGAACAGAGAAATCGGGGCGGAATCATTTTATCTGTTGACTCTCTGTATCCATTGGGTTTAAATCTTCTTTATTTGAATTTGGAACGAGTGAAACTAACTAGTCTGAGCCCAACAAAAAAAAACAAAGCCAATTTGGTAGTTAAACCGATGAATACAACCGAAGAGGAAAACAGAAACAAGCAGTTGCTAAATACAGGGCATAGATTAATATTTTTAAGTCAACAAAATAGCGATGACAGTAATGACAAAGAAATACTCCCTTATGATATCTACAAGCAAGAAATGGAGGGCTACAGAGAAACTGTTGGGCTTTTTACTGGTTTAGGGAGCTTAACACACTTAAGAGTTTACGATTGTAATTTGCAAGACATATCGTGGCATATGTTCGATGGTTTGAACAGTCTTGTCTATCTTTCATTGGAGAAAAACAATTTAAAATTTATTCCAGAATTTTGTTTTTATGGTACACCTAATGTAAAAGTACTTTCACTTGCAAGCAATCAGTTATTAACACTTAAAAGCGTTGACTTGGCAGGCTTGCTGATGCTTGAAAATCTTGATTTAAGAGGAAATAATTTAACTTTCTTGTCAGAGTTATCTCTGCCTCCTTTTCCAATGCTGAAGTTAGCAGATTTCCGTGGAAATCCCTTAGATTCAGTATTTCCAAGGTAATTTTGATAGTTTCTAATAAATAATTTAATATATGCGTAAGTATACGCTGAAAATGTATTTTTTGTTTTTAGTACCTTTGAAATTATGAATACAACGATCAAATTATTCTTGGGAGGGGAATACTCAAAACTGTATTTGCAGAAAAATTCCTTTTTGGGATTACATCAACTTCAAGTGTTGCATCTATACAATTTGGAGATACATGTTTTGGAACGCTTCGTATTTCAAGGAATGCAACAGTTATTACAGCTAAAAGCACGTGGAAATATTTCAAGCATAGAATTTGACGCATTCGTCGATTTAATCCAACTGCAGGATCTTGATTTAAGTCATTGCCATATTCGTAAAATATCTATGGATGCCTTTTATGGGTTGGAGCACGTTAAGCGCATAGATTTATCTAACAACGAGTTAGAATTTATTCCGCCTGGTCTCTTTGGAGTACAACAGCAAAAGGAACTTAAGGAAATCATTCTTACAAAAAATAAATTGACTATGCTTCCTCTAGATTTTTTCAAGATGTTGCGTGGTCCAAATAAACAACAACAAATAACAACCGTTAGATTAGATGGTAATCCATGGGATTGTACTTGTTCTATGACCACATGGAATCCTCAATTGGTAAACACAATGAAGGTGTCCTTGAAATCGTATTGCGTTGGAACATATTGATAAAAATATCTTTTTTTTTAAATAGGTGAACAGATTACGAGAAACAGCACCGCGTTGCTCAACCCCGAAAGGATTGCGAAACTGGGGCGTTTTCTACGCGCTACGAAAAGGAGGTTTGCAATGTAGGAGTTTGAGAAGGAAACATTTTAAGAAATCCCCTACTGGAAGGAGCTCTTACGAAGACAACACCATCAGTTAGATAATTTACAAATAATAAATATTTGTATAAAAACAACAAAACTCAAATGTAATAAAATTCTTAATTTTCAACTTTTACTTTTTCAAAGAATTAATTTCTTTAAATATATCATTTTTTTTAGCATTTGCATGATTGAACACGGTGTAATTGAGTTTGTACTATAAATTTGGATATAGATAGAGATACATACAAAACCAAAAATTTTTAAATAAAGATAATAAAATATGATAGGACATAAAGATAATCTATATACATAGTATTGTTTGCTATAAAAATAAATGAAAAAGAAAACAAATGATAATGTGATTTCACATACCTCTCAGAAGAGTAGCACAGGTACCTTTGTATATACTTCTTATTCCTCCCTCTTTATAAAGCTGTTTTACGCAATCAATAGGTCCCTTATATTTTGGTTTTGCATCTCCTTGTTGTATCTGTAGAAGACATTTTATTCTTTCTCCAGGTGTCATTATAAAAGTTGTAAAAATGCCGCTGAACGCACCAGCGGCAAATAATTGTATCGGTGTCAATCGATCATTATCATTCTTTCTTATTAGTTGCTTGCCAAGACCAAAGCCATAAAAGCTTATGGCAAATATTGGAGCTACACCGAATAAAGGTGCACCCATACCTAATGGAATAAGTGTAAATTATAAATAATCTGGTACATAAACTCTTAAGTGAATCAATGATCTACTTTATACCTTTATATAAACCACGCACTCCTTCTCTTGCTATTGTTTTCTTAGCACAATCTAGTGTTCCACTGTAGAGAGCTGTTTCATTTGGACCAGGCACAGGCATAGTTTGAAGACGAACCTGTTAACACTCATTTTTCTTTCTTTAATACCTATTTATAGCGGTGGAAGAAATATTTAAAGGTTCTCAGTTTTAATGTAGGAGGAATTTAAACAGTATGTTCGATTAGTTCTGTTACAACAAAAATAAACAAATATAGTGCAAGTGTATTAGATCCGTTTACTAATTTATCATTATTTATGTATGTATAGTAAATGTATAGTAAAATAGGCAGTCAACCTTACAAACAATTACGGTTCTTTATGTAACAGTAATTAATTGTTTGATTTACCAATAATAGTGTAACCTTACTTTTATCGTATCTAAAGGATGTCCTGCGATTACGGTGCATATTCCACCGAATCCTCCGCTTAGAAAGTATTTAATCGGACTTTCTTTTTCCGACATTTTGATATTACTCTATTTAGTATGAGACTAACAGGAACATTAACAAGTCCAATAACGAATAATTACAGGTTTTCTTGTTCTTATTGAAGGAGGAACTTAAAGTACAAGGTTCAAAGGAAGGTATGTACATGATACTTGTATAGCAATTGACAAATTGTTTTGCACTGAAGTGGTTATTCGATGATTATTTTAAAGCAACCTGAAAAAACTCAAAGTTCTAAGGTACATATGTACATCATACATACAAGTACTTTTTCCATTGTGATAGCACTTAAGCTGTGGCTTTTTCTAGCAAAATCAAATTAAAGGTACATACTAATCGTATACTACATTATACATATATATCGAAGCTTGCAGTTATCAACGCAGTTTTTGAAAATCTGTTTTTTAAATATGGCATAATTATTTCATAAGTGCCGCCAACCTGGTTTAAAGATAGTGCTGCGCGTATATAGTATACTTAGAATGAAACATTTTAATAATGAACAGCAATGAACAGTTTCACCTTTCGAAAAATCAAAAATATCTGTGAACAGAAAATTGACCAGCAGCTTCCTATTCTTTATGTTACATGATAAATGATTGAAACACTGCATCGATACATAGTGTCTAGATGCAATGTACATAGTGTCTTCAAGATAATAAGTGTCAGAGAACATGTAAATAGTATCAGGTGATTGAAATCATTAGCAATCTGATCTAGGATTTCACGAAAATAAGTTGTCTTTTAATTTTACGTGTTCTTATATTCTTCGATATATCAATCACACTTTTATAAAACGGCTAAATCAACGAATTCAATTATTTTTTTATTTTATTTGACCTTGCTGTAATCTGCTATAAATTTATCGCATACGTGTGATGACAGTAATTAGTTGCGTTGAACGGTGTTTACAACGGTTCGTCTTCAGTTCGTTTAGTATTGTAACAAGACTCCAAATATCAAAATATATTCATTTCTGATAGTTTTAAATATCTATCTTTAAGAAAGTTCTCTTAATTCTTTACAAAAATTTTATTACAGAAATATCCAAAATGTCTGAAAAGATTCCATCTAATCAACCACAACCTATTGTTAAGATAGGTCATTATACGCTTGGACAAACTTTAGGTGTTGGAACATTTGGTAAAGTAAAAAGTACGTATAATGTTTCATGTATGGCTTAGGAGAATATTGTTACCAAATTATTTATAACTCGTATTGTTTTTATAGTTGGAGAACATGTTTTGACAAAACATAAAGTTGCTGTAAAAATACTGAATCGCCAAAAAATCAAAAGCCTCGATGTGGTAGGAAAAATTAGAAGAGAAATACAGAATTTGAAACTCTTTAGACATCCTCACATCATTAAATTGTAAGTTGACGATCGTGTTTGTTAAAATATTAAATAACTGTCGATTAAATTATGCTTTTTTATTAGATATCAAGTCATAAGCACACCTACAGATATATTTATGATAATGGAATATGTGTCGGGCGGTGAACTATTTGACTATATTGTGAAACATGGAAAGCTTAAAGAATACGAGGCACGAAGATTTTTTCAGCAGATTATTTCGGGAGTTGATTACTGTCACAGGCACATGATAGTTCACCGTGATCTTAAACCTGAAAATCTTCTTTTAGATCAGAATCTACATGTAAAAATAGCAGACTTCGGTATTTGGATAGAGCTGGGATTTTATTATATACTAAATAAAAGCTTCGATGAAGTACAAGACATTCAGTAACATTTCTGGAATCTGTTTAATTTATTTAATTTACTTTTCCAACAGCTATGAACAAATGTCTTGTATATCGCATGGAACAAATAAGATTTATTTACATCAAATTTTATATAACTCTAGGTTTATCAAATATGATGATGGATGGAGAGTTTTTACGTACTTCCTGCGGTTCTCCAAACTATGCAGCACCAGAAGTAATTTCAGGAAAGCTATATGCTGGTCCTGAAGTTGATATCTGGTCTTGCGGAATTATATTATATGCGCTACTTTGCGGTACATTACCATTCGACGATGAACATGTACCAACACTTTTTCGTAAAATTAAATGTCAGTATTAATTATATGATCATTATGATTCATTCTGTATGGGAAAACTGATACAAAAATATTCCTTTTAGCTGGCGTTTTTCCTATTCCGGAGTACCTGAATAAAACTGTTGTAAGTCTTTTGTGTCATATGTTACAAGTGGATCCTATGAAAAGAGCAACCATCGAAGATATCAAGTATAGAAACTCTGATACAATTAGTTATTATTTTCTACATTGAAATCTAATAATGCTTCCGCTAAATGTGAATTTTATTTTAGGAAGCATGAATGGTTCCAGAAGGATTTGCCTTCATATCTGTTTCCATCACCTGTTGAACAAGACTCTTCTGTAATCAATATAGACGCGGTAAACGAAGTTTGTGACAAATTCAATGTAAAGGAAGCTGAAGTTCATTCAGCATTATTAGGTGGAGATCCGCACGATCAACTAGCAATTGCCTACCATTTGATAATAGACAATAAATTAATCGCCGACGAGGCTGCTAAGGCGGAATTAAAAGATTTTTATGTGGCTTCTAGCCCGCCGCCTGTAGCATTTAGCCCCAATGATTCCAACAACAGCCCTCTGAGACCGCATCCGGAAAGAATAGCACGTGCGTTTATAACAAGTTTTAGACAGTGCTTGATTTTGCCATCAACTTATAACGCACAAACTTTCAACATATGTATTGTATACTTGTAGCATTGCGAGAACGTCAAAGTTCTCAAGGAAGTACGTCATCGCAAACACAAGGTAACCGTGGCACTCCCGTAAAGCGAGCTAAATGGCACTTGGGAATTCGCTCACAGTCGAAACCTAACGACATTATGAATGAAGTTTATCGAGCTATGAAAGCTCTCAACTTTGTAAGCAATTCTATTTATACATAATGAAAACTATTAATTGCTTCAATAATTTAATAGTGTCTGCTATCTTTTCCAGGAATGGAAAATCATAAATGCGTACAGCGTCCGAGTGCGTCAAAAAAATAAAATAACTGATAGATATAGCAAAATGTCGTTGCAGCTTTATCAAGTTGATAGTAAAAGTTATTTGTTAGACTTCAAATCTTTGTCCAGCGAAGAAGGAGAAGAAATAGGACGCGGTAAAATATAATATTAATACGAATTTTAATTTCACATTTTTTTAATAACAGGTTTTATTATAGATCCGACACTTCCACCGCCGCAAATGACAGGTCATCATACAATGGAATTCTTTGAAATGTGTGCAGCGTTGATCACACAACTGGCCCGATGAATTTGCTACAAGAATATAAGCCACTGTTTTCCATAATTCAGCATAAGTAAAAGCGATGTGTTTCTTGGTCTAATTGCAATACACATCACGCAGTTTTTAGGATAAAGGGGTCATGTTAGGATGAAACAAATGAATATCAATTCTACAAAGAACTTACACGCTAGCAAGGAATGGTCAAATAAATCCATGGATAATTGAACAACATTTTTCTTAAACCTCATCTTCCTTCTTTAACATCTTGTTTCATAATTTTAGACATTTCTTCTGAATGTTTTCCTTAACTAATGTAATTAATTGTAAAATATTTGTTTGTTTTTATTAAGAAAATACAACTTTAGACATCTCTAAGTCCATAAGTCTTTGTTACAGAAATATGCTTTCTTATCTTTAGGGATGTAGTAGTAACTATGTGTAATAAAATATAAAAAATAAGACGTAATATACAATGTAATATCCGATACGAACCATTTACTCTTGAAAATTTAAATGTAGCGCTATTTGTGACAACTGGCGTCTCTCGCGGCAAGTATTCGTATCTCTATCCGGAGTCCATACAGCGCCAATTGGGGTAGCGGCAGAACGTTCAAACTGTTAGTTAAAATCGACTACCGGTAAATTGGCTAGCAGTTTGAGCGTCTTGTCACTCGACTAAATGGCGCTGTACGGACCCAGAACCAAGCTTCACGTTTACTCCATAAGAGACGCCACTATCGCCGTCGTTTGCGCAATACAGGAACGCCTAAAAAGAAGGCGATCTTGTTCTCCGATAGATTGCACCACCTATATATTACTAAATACTTAAAATATTTAAAATGAATCTTTGAGTAGTCAGATTAAAGCTCGAAAAATGCACTTGATGGTAAGTTAATTGCGATTTGAAAACAATTACGATGGCATAATAGAAATTGAAATTAAACATCGTTTTCTATCATATTACAATTCAAATATCGCCGAGCTTTCGAACGGTTCCAATTTCTCGCAACTAGCCTTTCCATTGTGTTCCATTCAGAGGGCCTTCGTAAAGAACAAAGATATCAACTTACAAAAACGGTAACACCATCCGTATGTAAATTCAGAATTTCGAGATTACGAACATTACAATTTCCGACGAAAGAATTGTCTCTGTAATAATCCTGTGTGGATCATACAACCTGTTTTTATGTTATAGGATCCGGTAGAATATTGGCTACCATTTTCGAAAAAGTATAATTCGAGAAAGTTTTCCGATAGCAATTCGTATGTAATTTTATAAGAATTCTTATTTTCGTGTAAATAAGAAAATAAAAAAAAAGTGTCCGGGCATTAGTGTAACATATTTAATGCAAGGGAGAAATATAGCAAAAAAGGAAGTAAGCACTTGCTTGGAACATATTTGTAATCGTTCCAATTGAGTATGCAACTTCACACGAAACTCTTTGACAAGTGATTTGAAAAAAATTTATTCCATCGTAGAATCTAAAAGTTTTCGAAAAACATGTTATTTATATGCCGAAATTAGCACATTTCCTTTCTGTTCAAAGGCGGTGTCTTAAATACAATACATCGAGATAATGCAACGACAAAAACTCTTTGGGGAGGACTGTTTATAATTTTGCTATGCAGATATTGAATAAAGCCACTACGAGAACAGTGCTCTTTGATATTGCAGGATCTGTAGAAAAAAAGAGGGACTTTGACTTTACACATATTCTGGATTCGAATTCGGGCCTCCTTCCGTCCCAGAGAAGGGAGTTATTCGACGTGCGATCCAGGCCCTACTGCGTTTTTTTACTTTTTCCGGGTCCTTTTTACGCACACATAGAAGAGGCGCTCCCACAATTATTGATCAACAAGTACAAATTCAACATCATCGATCTTGGCGGATTAAATACCAATTGCGTGAAAAACAATGGCTGCTACGTTCGATCAATATGACAAGTCCAGGTAAATAACTATGCATTTTGTCCTTTCCGTTTGATTTCTGTTTATCAATTTTATCTTCGATGTCTCTTCGAATAATAGACATTGTATCCTCTGTTAACCTGTAAAATTACATTACGACGTTCGCAATACTTTTCATGAGGTTCGATTCTTAAATAACCTTCGTAACGTGTAATATTTTTAAAAATATTCGATTATACTGGAAAATTTAAACTACGAAAAGATAATTTGTTAGACACGTAGTATCTCGTAGTTTTTCCGATTTGTTGTTTCATTAAATTTTGAAACAGAATAGTTACAATTGTACCTTTTTTAGCTGGTACTTTGGTGCAATGTCACGTCAAGACGCCTCGGATTTACTTATGGGTGAAAAAGAAGGTGGTGTGTTTTTAGTGCGTGACAGCACATCGATACAAGGAGATTTTGTATTGTGTGTACGTGAAGACAGCAAAGTTAGCCATTATATAATAAATAAAATTCAGCAGGGTGATCAGATACGTTATAGGATCGGCGACCAAATGTTTCCCGATATTCCCAACCTTTTGGCTTTTTATAAATTACATTACTTGGATACAACGCCGTTGATAAGGCCTGCTCCAAAAAAAACACAAAGGGTAGTAGCAAAATATGATTTTGAAGGCAACGATCCCGATGACTTGCCCTTTAGGAAAGGTTTGTGTGCTTTGATTTTTTTTACTTATCTTTGTAAATAATTAGTAAGTAATTTACCGACCAAGTACCATTTATTGTAGGTGAAATTCTCACAATAATTTCAAAAGATGAAGAACAATGGTGGACGGCCAAGAACAGTCTTGGTCAAACTGGATCAGTTCCAGTTCCATATGTTCAGAAATACGAAGAGGATAATCACTCGCTTGTGGAAAATAATTCACGCCCAGAAAGCGGAGGTAGTTCAACAGTGAATTCGAATTCTGTACAAGTTACTGGTTCTCAAATGCCTTACCAGGAAAGTGGACAAGGGACCACCCGCAGATCAAATATTCAGCGAACATTACCTGCGTTTGCTAAAGTAAAACAAGCGAGGGTACCGAACGCGTACGATAAAACGGCTCTAAAATTAGAAGTTGGCGATGTGATAAAAGTAACAAAGACTAATATGAACGGCCAGTGGGAAGGTGAACTGCACGGTAAAATTGGACACTTCCCATTCACGCACGTTGAATTTGTAGACAATGAGAGTGGAGAAGACAATCAGGAGATTTAACGGAAGTCTTCCAAGTGTAACGAGCAATGAAATTAACTTGGAGAATTCTATATTGACAATTTAGATTTACATTAGCAGCTTTCCTATGTACCGGTACATAGAAACAGTCTGTTTTATTATCTAAAATTTTCCTGAATTTAAAAAAGATTTAAATAGTACATACTTTTAGCACACTCCAGTTAGTCCAGAGCCAAGATATACTATTTAAATGTATAATAGAGTTTAAATATCACAGTGATACATTTTGTGCAACGCGTACCACAAAATGACTACTCTCTTAACCCATTTGCATCGTATGGAAATATGAAAAAAAGGCCTATATCACCGAAAAATTTTTATTAATATATTTAGGTGTAAAACTAATTCATTTTTTTCTTCCCACTCGAATTCACTATCACTATCATCACTATTGGATCTTATTTCTCTAATTCGCCTTCCTTTTAGCGGCCTAATTTCTTCTGTACCACAATCAGAAAAACTGCTTTCAGATTCCAGAATTCCATCCATTTCTATTTTTAAGGTTACGAATAAGTTTAGTGACTAACAAATTTCAGTATGTACACAACACCGGCGATAGTGATTGCAGAGATAACAAAGAGTGTGTGTAACAGTTATCAGTATCGGTGCTTGTCTCTGTGATCTTATACTGTTAGGGAGTGTGTTATTTTATTAATTAAATATTTGGATTCAATACCGAACGCAGCCGCGTATATATACGCTCCGGTGATAGTGACCAGGAAAATTGAGCGTATATATACGCTTATGATGCAAATGGGTTAAGAATTATTTCTTCGGTGAACACAGAAAAATACAGTATTGTTATAAACAATCCTTTATGTTTCTATCGGAACAAGCTGAAATAATAATATCTGNCCACAATCAGAAAAACTGCTTTCAGATTCCAGAATTCCATCCATTTCTATTTTTAAGGTTACGAATAAGTTTAGTGACTAACAAATTTCAGTATGTACACAACACCGGCGATAGTGATTGCAGAGATAACAAAGAGTGTGTGTAACAGTTATCAGTATCGGTGCTTGTCTCTGTGATCTTATACTGTTAGGGAGTGTGTTATTTTATTAATTAAATATTTGGATTCAATACCGAACGCAGCCGCGTATATATACGCTCCGGTGATAGTGACCAGGAAAATTGAGCGTATATATACGCTTATGATGCAAATGGGTTAAGAATTATTTCTTCGGTGAACACAGAAAAATACAGTATTGTTATAAACAATCCTTTATGTTTCTATCGGAACAAGCTGAAATAATAATATCTGTCTATAATTTTTAGTCATAACTATCACTTGTTAATGTAACTCACAAAACATTTTCAATGCTTCTCTTTATCGAAGCTAACAATGTCTTTTAATTTCTCTAGTCAAAACAGCGATATTAAGAGAATTATATGACCGAGTCATGTATCGACACCGTTCGTTTAGGAGTTACAAAAATATTTGTTCCCTTTATGCATATTTTGTACCGGTACATATTATGCTGCTTAGCCATAGGTTGTGCCACGGATGGAGCAACATTTTCTACTAAAATATTCTATTTAATGATGGAACTGTTAACCACATTACGATTGTAATTATACATGAATCACACTAAACTATATATTAATAACGTAATTATGTAAGTTGCGA